TTTCAACTTCTCACTTTCCGCTTCTTCACACGTGAGGTAGCGTGCTAGGAATAAGAGTATAGAGTGCTGATATGCCGATGTAAGAAAAGACATATGACGGAAGCCTCGGCGCATTGCACGGGAAGACTTAGCAGCCATTAGCTCAGAGTGGAGAGGGTGAGCAACCTCACTAAGGATGCGTTCAACAAGTTGCTTAACCGTTTTAAAGTGGTGCTGCACTATAATGTCAGCTAAAAAAAACAGTAAACACCGGCAGCTGAAGAGAGCATTCTGAGGATACGTTTAAGAATGACCAGGTCTTTTTAAGTAAACCTGGAAAAATAACTGGAGAGCAGTAAAGAATGGGGAGGGGGAGAATTCAGGCATCTATAAATCGCCAGAGTTGGGCTTGCGGTGTGCGATATGAACGCAGGCGGCGGATATGATATAAGAGTTTACGAATTTTAATAAAAAGACCTTGTATATGAAAAGCAAATGTAAGATTGGATGCCAGGGTAACACCAAGGTATCGGAAAGAGGATACTTCATTGGGTAGAATGTCAATAGTTTCTGGACTGGGAGAGGGTTGCAGCCGAAAAATAAACTGGACTGACTTTCGCTCGTTAAGTAGAAGGCCATTTGCTGACGACCATGTTGAGACGTGGTCCAGGCTATCCTTCAGTACTTGGAGATGTGTCTGACTTTCGAGAGGATGGCCAACAACCATATCTCATCTTTTAACTATACTCGAAAATCAATGCGCTAAATCATTCGAAATAAAGCTTAGTAGACCCTGACGCCGAAAGTTGATATGAAAAGTTGAGTTGAAAGCCATTAGTTTCGAAAGGATAAACGCGTACCATTGATAATCTGCCGCCAAATAGTCAGTAGTATATGCATTTTGCATTATCAATCATACTGATATCGCAGGTCTTCCGTTGTACATTCTGCCACAAGCCTATCATGTCATGGATCGCCACTGTGAAGTGTATGAAATGCTTGAATATAACTGAAGAGCCGTGGTTTTCAGTTTGATTACTGTGTCTGAACTTCTTTCGTGACCCTGACGTAAAGCACTCGGTGTAGGCTCTTTTGGCATCAGCTCCATGTACACGCAAGAATCTCCCGTAAGGGTTTTAAAATGGCAGTCAACTAACAAAGTAATAACTATACTTATAGAACGTATAAGCCCATAGATTCTTGGCTAAACTGCTCTACGCTTTAACTGTATAAGGGTTTTTTTTAGGTCACAAGAAGTCTGACCAC